AGAAAAAAAAAAACTTTGTACAACTATTCTAAAAAATGGTTCTGTGTTGTGGAGATTCAAATTTGGAATGTTAATGGGGCCAAATGTCCTGTCAAATTATGAAACAAGTGGAAAATATTCAATACATGTAAGGGCATTGAGAAAGGTCAAATGAAACTTGGAGCCCATCAGATACTGCTTATGGAGCAACTCAATATACTAAGAAATAAAAGCATCAAATATTTAAAATCATTTATCTCAAAGCATCATCAGTTTTCACTATCATGTAACCCTTTGGTTGCTACCACATGCTGATGATGGTTTGGAAAGGATAAATTCAAAAATAAGGCAGTAGTATTATTCTCACTTCCTAATTTGTTAATGTGACTAGGGCTGTCATCTCTAAGAACTTCTGAAAATTCAGGATTCTTCAAATAAAAATAAAAGCACAGTTTTTGATATTCTACCTGGTATCAATATTAAACCTTTCTAATCTTATAACTAAGACCAACCAAGGTCAAAATAAAACTGAACCATAAACAAAATCAATGGAATTGGAATGCCACCATTAACAGGTTAACTATACCAAAAACACGACAACAACACAAACTAAACACTTACATTTTTCCCTTGTATTTCGTCTACAACTGCCCCCAGCCTTGTGCGATGAGGTGAAATAATCTGATGATACAGCAAAAATGCAAACACAAAACAAAATACTACCATGCTCTAAGAATCAAAAAAGAAAATAGAGAAAATAGAAGCATTAGTGTAATATTGGGAATACCTGCATTGGTGGCACAGGAGTTATAATAGAGAGTCGATTGACTGCTTTGAATTGATTAGCCTTGAACAGATAATGAATATATGCACACACAGAAGGATAAACACGCCCACTCCAACATTTACATGCACACGCACGCACACATGTGTGCACACATACACACACACACCTTATCTACCTATCTATTTACCTATCTATATATATTCATGTATATACTGTGTGTATACATGTGTATGCATGTGCATGTCTATATGCATGTGCATGTGTGACTGTTACCTCAGACAACCACAATTACATTTTAATTTGTCTAAATGGTGTGATATTATCTTCTTTATATGTGTTGCATGGTGTACAATGAATTATGAAAGGTACTTTTATAGCAGTGGTTTGAAGAATTTTGTTATTTCATCCAAGGAGTGCAAGGCACGGCTCAGACTGGAGCTTGTTGGGAAGTGAGCCATGGTGCAGACTGGACTGAATCAATTCTTTTTTTTTTCAGATAATGGCCTGATTATGTATCTTCAAGCTATGAAACACTGCATTAAACACAAAATTATAAATCTTTATCTGCTTTACACTAAGGTGTAAAATCTGAAAGGAAAAGTGTACACTCGATTGATTAAAAAGGTGTATGGTGAACTGTCTATCAAATATATTTATTATCTCATTTTCCAAAATCTAATATGTACTACATAAGGGATATAATCAGTAGTCCCCAAGATATTGTAAGGTTTCTTTCTATCACAAACTTTTATTGGGAAATCATAAACCTAAATCTGTCAGTTTATCTAAATATACACATATATGAAATAGAGGACAAAAATATGATACTTATTCAATGCTTTAATGCATATTGATTGATATGCTTCTATAACAGTATTTCCCAACCTCTTTGCATTTAATGGAACCCTTGCAATACAATCTTATAGAATCTCTTCCTTTTCATATATCAAGCATTCTTTTTTCTTTTGATAAATGAACTACGCAAAAATAATATATTTTTTTCAAGTTATTGACAATTTTAGAAAATAACTCTTATGTACTGTAAAAATTCAGATGGACAATGATGAAATCCATGATGGGTATGTCTTCATTGAGCAAGTCATTTGGGTGTGAACATGAAGTCACCATCTTAAGTGTAAAAGATATATTCAGCAAAAAAAAAAAATCCATGTGATTATCATTATTCTTAATGCTATGACTGTTTGAAAACTTGGTTGCAATACTACACAATTTTCCACAAATTAAACTCTTCTCAAAAGTAACTGAAAACTGCTTCTGCACATATGTGCACATGCATAATAGGTTCAGTCTCTTAATCTCCTAAAGAATTTTAGATAAGCTCTTAAGGTACTCCAGGTTTCTAGGGAAACCTACATGGGAAACACTGTTATGTAATAAGCATAAATCTTTAATATTTGAAATAGCCATTTTCCCTCTTCATGCTTTTGTATAATAAATTGGATTTCCCTAAGATTCACTCCATTCTTACTGACCATCTTACATCAAACAACATACCATCCTATTATAAAAATGATACTTTACTGCATATATTACAAATGATGAAAAACTATCATAGGGCTCTTTGTGCACATGCAATATAACATTTCAAGAGTATTAATCCTGATGCACGATAACTATATATACATACACATATACGAAAATAGTTAAATAGATCCCCAATCTATGTGCTATTCACAATAGCAAATCGACTCTCTAATATATGGGTATTCAAATTTGACCAGAAGGTACTGGTGTTATGTTAAATAGGTTGAGAGAGTTAATACCATTTATCAAATATGAAGAAAAGATTAGTATATTCTAAAATCAAATACCAAACTGCGTAGCAAATCATTCCCTATAGATTTTCTCATAAAAAGAGAAAAAGAAAAAAAAGAAAAAAAAATTATACATATGTAGCTGAAGAGACTGTATGTGCATGTGTGTGTGTGTGTGTGTGTGTGTGTGTGTGTGTGTGTGTGTGTGTGTGTGTGTGTGTGTGTGTGTGTGTGTGTGTGTGTGTGTGTGTGTGTGTGTGTGTGTGTGTCTTGTGTGTGTATGTTTTGTGTGTGTGTGTGTCTTGTGTGTGTGTGTCTTGTGTGTGTGTGTCTTGTGTGTGTGTGTTTTGTGTGTGTGTGTTTTGTGTTTGTGTGTTTTGTGTGTGTGTGAGTTGAAAAAGAATTAAAAAAAAAAAAATCTATCAATAAAAAAATACTCACAGCAAATATAATCATACAAAAATCCGAAACTTACAAAACATCAATATTTTTCATAGTATAAGCATACTTTTATACTCTAATTATCTCCCTAGAACCAATTTCATCTTCACATAAGATAAAGGGTATCAACACTAAAGAAAGAAAGAAAAATATAAAATGCTAACTAAAAACACTAACACATCAACCATGCATTGACATACTATATAACAGTCTCTTCATAATCAGACACAGATACACGTACATACGTATACACCACACTTGTGCATGTTTGTTTGTACGTGCATGTGTGTGTTTGCATTTATAGGTTTGATTATAAAATGTGGCTATATGGTGCATGTGTGTTTGCATTGTTTTTTTTTTTTCTTTTTTATCTTTTTCACACAACATACATGCTAAAACTTCACACAAATACAAACTGCTGTACAAAGAACAAATAATCTACTTATCTCACATTACATTTTTGCATTTACTCTTTAATTCTTTTCTACTAAAAGCCTGTTTCCCTAACTGTGACCTTATATTCAAAGTTGTTCATATATTAGATATTATCTGCATATTAAGTGGAAGTTGAGGATGATTTCAAAAACGTTGAAATCTCCGGAACGTTAATATGTAAATTTTATTATAATGTTCTTTAATTATATTAAATACCCCTCCTGGTCATTAGCATGAAAACTTTACAAACATGATATTCTCTGTTTCTATTTAGAAATTTTCAGTTATAAATAACTCAGAAAATGAATACAATCACAATACAACAGAACAAGAAATATATCTATAATCAAAGACTATACTTATCTGAATGTGTACGGACAATAGATCACACACATTCCCATGATGACAAGCAATAAATCCAAGAAAAAAAAAAAAATTAAGTATACACTGAAAAATATAGTACAGAGCATCACAGACATTTACAGCCAATCAAAGGGTATATCAATTAGTCATATACTTTGTCAGTATATCATTGAAGATATTTTTACTAATCCCTTCCGAAGATCATCCAGCACACGCTAAGCTACTATCAAGAGTATTTTAGCATTACAAACGCACTCCCAAACATTGAGCAATTAAAGTTGGTAAGATACCGCGTTACCTTCTTGCTGATTTTGAATACCCAGGAGCGTATATTTTGATAGTGTTGGTGGCTTATATGGTCGATGGTGAAGACTGGACCATATTTCATGCTTTTCTGCTTCTCCGGCCAAAATGGAGGGTAGTTCTGTGCAAGGGAGGATCGGGAAGGTTAGAGGAGGTCATGGTAGTTGGCGTGTAAATGTACGGGCTGGCTGACTAAATTTATTCTTACTTTAACTGAGAGAGAGAGACTAACATACACAGAATGCTATGCTGATAATCTGACAGTCTTTCATGGCTATGCTAAAAGTCCTATAATATTAACATGACAGTAACAGATACATATCTATACTACTTTGCATTTCAGTAGTAATGATAGTTACATCTACCTTAGTGTTAGAACTGTGTGTCAATAATTTTCAGCATATCTACCATATTGTCCAGAATTACTAATCTATTATAAAATTACTTAGAAAAGCAACTTGGAGATTACATTTTAGAGATTTTCTAAGACAAAAATCAATCAGTTTAAAAATATAAATATAATGTTGATGAATTATATATATATATATAATAACAAATGGACCGGTACCAAAAAATATACCTTTCTGATATTTATAATTATCCTTGAATGTCTTTTAGTCTCCGACAGCAAAGATAAAAAATGCTGTAGATTATATGAGTATTTCATAAACATTTACACATTTTTTTTTTGTATACAGAACACATGTACAGTTACTTAAAAATATATGCTGTTACAAATAATCCCTTTCTATATATCATTTTCAAAAAATATGATATTCCATGGAATTTGTAATTACCCTGTTTATAACTATAGATGACTTAAACATTAACACATTCTCCAATCATGCATAATCAGTAACCTGTATCTATTGTACTTATTTTGAGTTATTAGAAAATATTTTAGTTTCAATGCCTTG